GCCTTGAGAATATGTTTATGCTTTAATGAAAGGCGGAAACTTTTTAGGATGACAATTTGCGCTATGTCCTGACCAGACTGTTACCAATACAGCAACCTTTTTAGTTAGGTTTATTCAGGGTAGTGTGCATTAAGTTTGGCGAAATTGGGAATCGCCTCATATCGAAGGAATTTCCCATGTTACTAAGTATGACAGAACCAAACCTTTGTAAAAAATATCCCTTCCAGAATCGGAAAAGTTTGTCCAAAATTATTCAGCTGCACGTGAGTCTAAGTTTAAGTTTACGTTTAGATAACTTGTGAAATTTTTCGCACAAGATATAGTAAGCGTCCATATATTTTACCTTGAAGGTAACGTAAAACAGGCCTTATTAAATGTTAGTCATGTAGAAATATACTTTTTGTAAACTATATATTTCGCTTACGCGTTATTTGGAAACGAAACAGACAAAAGCATTATTATTATTTCAAAAAATTATTAAATAGGAAATTAATAATAATACCTAAAGGCGAGTCGATTGGATAAGCGTGGGGCATGGACTGTTTAATTTGAGAGTGACCAGAGAGAATAATACAAATATCACTCGATTGGCTGTGTGCACTATGGATTGACCTACGGTCGGTAACTACGTGAGAGGTTTGAAGAGTGTTTAAAACGCGCAACTGTGGGTTTTCTGCCAGGTTGACTGTCGCCCTTGTTAGAGTGTTTGCGCGGAAGCTGAAAATCCGCGTGAGCAGCTTAACTTGTTCCCCTTGTTTCTGCAGGTTGATCACTGTTATTAGCTGTGCCCGGAAGGGGTTGGACATGACCTCTTAATTTGCCCTTGCGATCGTCCTTGCAGAAACTGCCTATAAATTCCAGGTCACATACTTATCTTAAATGACTCCCTTTTTGACTCTTTTCTGCTAGCCACACAGCTTTTGCTATGTTTAAAACTACTATCCAAATGGGATTTAAATTTGGCCTTGCGATTTCTACTCGATCATCTACTCGTGGACAGGGTAGATCACCTTTTGCGTACTTTGCATCTGAGGCATATATTTTAGCGAAATGTTTTTTTTAACATAAACCTTATCGTGCCTTTACTGCCGCGTTCTATTCCTATTTAAACTGGAGAATCCGATACGCGTTAAAACGAAGACCTGAGTCGATTTCCTGTGTAATTTTGAAAAAAAATATTTTTATCTGCAAATTTGAAAACATAGATACGGTATGCTTTAACGGAAGGAAATATTTGAATGGCTGGATAAAAGAATCAAAAACGAATTAGGTTTAGTGGCTGGACACTAGTGGTGTACGCATAAGCCTGAATTGGTGTGTTTGCTGTCTTAGTGACTTTTGGACAAAGGCTAATTAAATTTGAAAAATTCCTTTGCAAACCATTCTAAGTGAATAACCAGGAAACAACACCGGCCTCTGTAGATATTGGCTCTTTAAACATGAATATTCGAACATTATCCTTTTTTATATCCTTTTAACAAATTGTGGTTTCATAACTTCCGACACTCTGCGTAAGATTATTGGTTAGAATAGTCATTATTGCGCGAAATTTTCTCCAGACAGAGTATGTGACCTACCTCAACGACCGGCGGACAGAAAGTGGAATTATTCATCTGACAATGTAGCGATTTATATCTCGTACTTATTTTCATGACCTTTATTGGAAAACGCCTATTTTCCTCCAGGACACATTTCAAAATTTGTTTATATTAAAACATGTACACATTTGAGCAAAAGAAAACTTTGCCCTATATTAGGTCAGTTTCCTAAGTTAATAGATTTCCCAGAATTCGTTTTAGTATCTAAGCTTGTTTTCCTTTGGAGAAACTTTTACTCCCAATTCCAAAATAAGAATACGGCTGCAGGAATCTAGCTTCCTCTTTTAGAAATCCAAATGTTTTATCTACTTTGAAAGGGCAGATTCGCAAATCTGTGATTTTGTGTTGTACAACGCGGTGATAACGACTAAGGACAATTCAGTGTTTAAAGATGCTGACATTTTCCGTCCAACCACCCACCATCTATTGAGCAGCTCACATTCTAAATGCATACAAAAATAATTATTGCGCCCAAAATTATGTTCATACCTAATATAGAACCGGAAAACGCAAAATGTCACTATTTGAAGCTATATGCGAGCATCTTTCGTGCGTTTTTAGTCATTGAAGGCCGCAAACCAAAGCAAAAGTATAACGA